CAGTTTGCTACATATGTGCTAAAATCACACGGGACTGAATGTGCACACGAGTGTAACTGGGGAGACCTGAATCGGATGGGTGGACTATCCCGACGTCAATGCCCTGATGGTGACAGTGCACTCTAGCTTTACAAGCTGTTACCACTGGGGGAACATCTGAGATTGTATTATCATCTGTATTGTTCATCTGATAATACATCTGAGATTGTATTATCATCTGATTGTAATATCATCTGTATTATTCCTTACAAATATATGTGAATGTGCAATTATCTCAACAAAAATTTCAACTATAAAAAGAACTTAAGGGCATCTGTTGTTGAATCATAAATGCTAATCTCCCCCCCCAACTGCCAAATTCTCATACCCCATTCAGCACCAAACAAGGTCTGTTTATAGACTCAGTGAAACCAGCATTCAAGTTTTGACTCTCGCTAACTGTGTGGCCTTGCATAAAGTACATGACCTCTCTGAACTACAATTTTTCATTTAACAAATGGGAATGAGTACTGGCTTACAAGTTTTGTTGGAATGACTGTATATCATATGTGCTCAATAAATGGCAGGGATCCTACTTCCCCAGCCCTTTGGCTGCTGATCGCAGAACTTTGTCCCCAGTTTTCAGCCACCACTTCCTCTGTGCAGCACCTTCAACTCCTTTGTACCCTGTTTCTTGCACTGCTCCTGCACACACACACCCCAAATCCCAGGCCGCACATTCACCCTGCTCACGGACTTCCTGCCTGGTGACACTGGGGTCTACACACCAGTAGAGACAACACCACAAATGCGCAAGCAGAGCTGAGCTCAAGTTCCACATCCTGCTCAGGGCAGGAGGCTGCTCGATCCTGTCCCCCCTGCCTCCCCACAGCAGCCAGCAACAGCCTACAAACAGGCTGGCAGCTGGAGGTCTGTATCAGGACATTCAAATACTGAAAGAACTTGGAGGGCAAGGGCTATTCTGACCTCTGGTCTCCAAGGACTGGCTTTTCAGCCCCTCCCCCCAGCTCGCAGCCATGCATTCCCGAAGGGTCAAGCAATGAAGGATCCAACAGGCTGGTCCCATCACCAGGTGCCGTGAGCAGAATCCCAGGCCCTGCTTTGCCCAAGGGTTCCAGGTAACTAGCCACAGCAGGTTGTGCGCCATGGCAGAAAACAGGTTCAGAGTGACGGGTTCTGCAGTGGAGTGTGCCACCCTGGTCTGGCATGAGAGATTGTATCTGACCCTGCTAACCCACAGGCTAAAGTATGATGATAATGGTGATGATGATGATGATTCCCCATCCTTGCCAATAACAGGATGCCCCAAAGCCAACACACAGGTCCACACCTCACTTTGTGTATGTGGGATTCCATGCAAGGTTCCCTAGTGGAGCCTCTTCATCTAAATTCCAGTCCCCAGGCTCCAAAACAGCTTGGAATCCTGCTGAACAAGCCCAGATGCTGGGAGCTGCCATGTGCATGCACCCCATGCCCTGGCCAGCCCTCTGCTGCTGTGTTCAATCCCAGAGCCTGATCCAAAAGTATACCCCACCCTAAATGCCTGCCATTCACTCCCTGCCTTCTGTGGGTGGTTTGAACGGAGGAAAAATCACCAAACCCCTTCTTTTGTACTGTAAAAGCAGGAACCAGAGCCTTACACACCCCAAGCCCTTGCATGGCTACCATGAGCACTGTTCAGTCTCTGTGCCAGCAGCAGCAGGCCCCGGGCTGGGGGTACCACAGGCCAGGAAAGGACCTCTTGAAAAGGGCCTCCATTATCCTTTCTCCACCTGCAGCTGCACCTTGCTCCCCAACAGAAAGCATCCTATCCATGTCCTGTCTCAGTGAAGCACACCCCAAGCAGGAGGCCCACTTGGCTGACAGTGAACCCTTTTTTCCAGGCTGGGTTCTGAGGGCAGCTGCTCCACCTGGCTGCTGAGAATCTGAGCCAATCAGATTCTCCTTCCCTGCAACTGCAAAGTGGGATGGACCTCGAGACGCAGATGGGGGCAGTAACCTAGGAATGGTTGCCCAGAGAGTGGATCCCTGAGCTTCTGGGCTGAGACCCTGGGACTCCTCCAAGTTCTGCCCACCCCAGGTACAGCAGCTTGGGCTCTTCCTTCACTCAGCTCTCTGGCCACTCCAGGGTTCTTCCTTGTTCCCTATTAAACCAAATCTAATTTCGTGTCTTGCACAACTCAGAGCTCAAACAGGGACCTAGATCCAAAATCAGGAATAAAGAGGATTTTTACCCACACTTGTTCTCTGCCCTGCTGATCTCAAGAGGCTCTTTAGGGGCCCTGGAGCTAGGACTGGTCAGGTAATTAGAAATACCCCCCATGTGTTTCCAGAGAAACACCTCAGACCAGGCTTCCAGGCAAGCCCCTGATGTATCACGGCCCCACTGGGTGAGCCCATTGGTTTCTGGTTGCCTTCTCATCCTGATGGGCCAGTGAAGGACGTGGATGGTTGGTGTCCCCCGGTAGATGCTGCATACACCTCCAACTCCAACAACCCCAAAGGCAGCAGCTTCTGTGTCAGTGGCATCAGCTTGTTGCCTCCCCAACAAGTCAGCCTGACTCATGACAGGGGGAGAAGGGGAAACCTTTATTTCTGGCAAAAAGACTCTTACTTTATTAGCATAACACTACAGGGCCAGTTGCAGGTCAGCTTGTCATCACACTGGTAACTACAGGGCAGCCCTATGCATCCGGAGCCGACGTTGTCAGTCATCATTGACGTCATCCTTGTCTTTTTTCCCTTGCTCAGTTTCTTCTGTATCTTTCAGATTTTGGCGAGCAAACTCCTCAAAAACTAAATTTTCATCCGGAAAGCTAACAGGAAAAGGAAACAGACAACATTTTGATCATCACATACTCTTTGAAGCTAAAGCTGAAACAAGATCCTTGATCTTCTTTTTGCAACAAAGGAAAGAGATCAAGGTTTCCCCCAGGATGGCACGTGAGGGCACGCCATTTCCTCACAGCTTTTGGTCTGAGTCTCATTTATAAGCACAAACAAGAGTGTAGGGAGGAACACGCAGGCATGCAGGCAAGCCCAGGGGCGCTGTGTGCACGTGAGGTCTGCACCAGGCAGCACAAGGGAGGGGAGCAAGGGACGTGCCACCTGCGCCCAGCGTGGGATGCACACGGAGACTCAAAGAGGGGTTCGGGCTAGAGAAGGAGGCTACAGCCACAGTGAAAGCCGGGGCAGTGTTCATGTCGCTTACCTGTCCTTAGCTGGAAGCACGGAGTAAGGCAGGAGTGGGGACAAGGAGAGAGAGAGATCAGCATCCGTTAGTATAAATTCTGTATCATCCCTGTATCTGGGAAATTCCTACCTTGCTGAGGTGACTTTGTAGTTTGAGGGCTAATATGGTCTAGACACATTGTGATCCAAGGAGAGTGTGGAACTCCTGCTTCTCACCTACCCTACTCCCTCTCCCCCTGTGCTTCTAACCCTTGCTTCCCTCAGTAGCCACAGCCCTCCTCTCCTCAAAGGAAAACTCCATAGTCTCCCCCTAGGACACTTCCCTCATCATCCTCACCCACTTAGATGGTGCTTCTTTGTTCAAAGTATTTCTCCCTAAGTGTCCATCAGACACCATCTAGGTCAGAGTGGCCAAAGTGCCATTAAGATGCACGCTCCAGGCGCCTCCACCCTGATGGGGCTCCCAAGGGGTGAGACCTAGGACTTGATGGCTACCCAGCACCCCAGGGTTGAGATGTGCAGGAAAGCTACTGCTTTTGATTCCTGTTAACATGCTGATCTCTTTCTGTTGGGTTGTCTGCATGTGCTTTGTGTCCCCAGATTGCCATTGGCTTGAGTGGTTTTTGTTGTTTCTTAGCTTTCTGCCCACCTAGTAAAGCGCCTGCCTGCCGTTTGGGGGAAAGCACAGCGATGGCTTGATGGTGAGACACTGCGTTTGTCTCTCATCCCAGCACTGTGAGCGCAGTGCTCATGATGCTCACCAGGCACCTAGACAGGCTGGCTCATCAAAACATCCCCTGGGCAATAAATATCCTGCATCCCACAGAGCTCAGCCATCAAATGACACTAAGTGGGCCCATCGCCCCAGGGAGACGACAAGGAAGAATCAAATCAACAGGACTGGATACAGATGCTCTGGACAGGGAACAACAAACCTTGCCAGCATTTCATAGATACTTGGCCTCAGGCTCTGGTGGGGCTTAACTACAACTCAGGCTTCTGTTTAGAATTGCACCTGCCCAGACTCAGGGAGCCAGGAACTAGGCAGGGAAGATATGAGATCTGGTGACTCATAAATCTCTAGAAATGGCAATTTTGTGAGTGACCATAGGGGAATTTGCCCTAACCCTTGTTCCCTGAAATCTCATGGTACAGAGCACAAAAGATCATACTTTCACCTTAACATTTCGATATGTTTGACACAATGGCCATAGTGACTGGGATATGAAAATGTGGAAAAAAGAACTCCACTTCTCCAAATTAAGTCACAAAGTAAGTCTGTTCAAAGTTCCAGAAAACAACCTAACATAAGCTATGGCCTCTCTTCAGGTGACCACCTTTTTAATGTCCCTAGAAGGAACCAGAAGGCATCTTAATCTCGCAAAGTTAAAAAATAGTATTCTAATGATATAAGCATAAAAGAATTTAAAATGTATGGCTAGACCAATGATTTTTCAACCAGAGTGCCATGAGAGGACCTTAGGTGTGCCACAAAAATTTTTAAAGATCATTCATTAAATTATTTGTGAAAGAAGTTCAAAGCACAGTAAGTATATTCTTTTTTTGACTCTTTTTTCTTCTTAATATAAGCGTGCCGTGGAAGTTTAACTATAGGTTCAAGTGTGCCATAAGGTAAAAAGGTTAAAAACACTTGGCTAGACTGTAGTTTTCTCCAGAGGAAAGTTTTGGCAAAGTGCATTGAGGGTTTAAATCCAAAATATTTGGAAAAGAAACTTTCAGGCAATATACTTTTGAGACAAAACAGGGGAGTTGATTCTAATGTTCAAATGGCATTTCATTATCAACATAGAAAACCTACTTATAAAGTATGAGAACAATAGACCCTGCTTGTTTTACCACTTAAATGATCCCTTAGTACTATAGCTACGCACGGTTCTCATTTAGACACGTCCATTTTTCTTTCTTGTTAACTCAGTTGCCTTAACACACAGGGGAGAATTTTTTCTCACAATTTCTGAGATTGTACTTGTTATTTTTGCCGCTTCATTTGGCTTGTTAGAAAGAGATCAAATTCACACACCAGACAGTTGACCTCTTTACAGCGTACAGTCAATAGCTTTTAGTCTGTACGTAGAGTTGTACAACTACTGCTTTAACATCTGCGCAGGAGCCATCAGAGTTACAATTTAAATGAGCTGAGGCGTCAGGAACCCAGGCTGACCCTCTTTTCTAGTGTTTTCTGTATTCTCATCATAGCCACCCATGTCACCTGTTAATGCTCCCAAATGAAGCAGGAGGGCTTTTGTTCTCAAACGAAATACAAAAACCTCGGGGTCTCAAGTTTCATTTTCACCTAAGTCATCTTTAAATCTAAATCCATTTCTGTTGACAGCAGAGCATCTACTTTTCAATCATTCCCTCTAGGACCATGGAAAGTACATCTTCTATGTCCCTACCAGAGCGAGGTGGGGGGTGTCAGCCCTGACCAGGTAAAGAAGACTCTCACCTGGTCGTGCTCACTTAGAGGTGAGGCCAAGAAAGACTAGGACTCAAGAATAAGCTTGCAAGTAGTGAGGAGTTAGAGAAAGCCAAGATAGCATATGACTGACCTGGGTCCCCAGGCTGTGGGTGCATGAGGCGGAATGGGACCTCAGTGGCCACTTCACTGGAAAAAGAAGAATGCAGATTAGTGAGAACAGCCGTAGGCACACGCACATGTGCACACACCACTACGAATCACACTACACAGAGCTGTGGTACCGAGAGTCAAAAAAAAATCCCCAGGCCTAAGCTAAAAGGCAATTAATTCAGTGGGATTCAAAACAAAACAAAACAAAAATCAGGAAGTGATCAACTAGGAATTTTAAATGTCTTCCCTGGAATGTGGTCCAGAAACCTCAGTTACGCAGGACCAGGGAAGCTGGTATTTTTAGGTTCCTCTCACTTCCAGTTACTGGTTGCAGTGACATGATACAGTGGGTGAAGAAATCCTAGAGAAAAGATAGTTTCTAAAAATATTCTTTGCCACAACATACACCATTTTTAATAAGCTGGAATCTCTGAAGCTGGTGAGCTGGAGGCAGGACGGAACAGAAAGAAGCAGGAACCACTGAATTCCAAAAGCTAAAGGGGCTAGGGGTGATGTGGAATTTATGCAAAAGAATGAGGGAAACGGCGGCACCTGTGGCTCAAAGGAGTAGGGTGCCCAGAGGTGGGAGTTTAAACTCAGCCCTGGCCCAAAACTGCAAACAAAACAAAACAAAAAACAAAAAGAAAGAGGAAAAGAAGTCAGGAAGGAGAGTGGAAGAGAATTCCTGAGAAGGAAAAACGGAAAGGCGAGAGGAGAAAGTGAATAAAAACAGGGTTACTCTGCCCTCCCCCAGGACCCATGGTCTTCTCCTCAGGGGTGGCCTCCGGCCAAGGGACCCCTGTGTACTGTGAAGCCACCCTCATCAGACGCAGGTGCAGGCAGGGTCTATCTAGGGAAGAAGGTGGAGCCTGAGCTCCAGGTGAGGGAGGGAAATGAAAAGTGTGGGGTGAAGGGTCACACAGGGTCACTGCCTATCTTGGCCCTTCTGCTTCTTTGCACATCATTTAGAAGGTAGCCATCACTAGTGACAATAATCAAGAGATGGCAATGACCCAAATGCCCCCAACAGATGAATGAATAAACAAAATGTGGCATATCAATGCAATGGGACATAAACCCTAAGAGACATAAACCCATCACATTTTAATATTGACAATTCCACTCCTGTGCAATATCCAGCATAGGCAAAGGGAAGAGGGCACACTGGTGACCTCCGGGGGCTGCAGGGAGCGGAAGCCGAATAACTGCTTAAAGGGTATCAGATTTCCTTTTCAGGTGGTAAAAATGTTCTAGAACTCGGTAGTGTTGACAGTCATATAACAGTTATATGTATATATAACTATGTATATGTATATATATATATGATATATATATATATATATATGTATATATAACTATGTATTAAGTACATAATACTTAATGTCACTGAATCGTTCACTTTAAAATAGTTAAATGGTGAAATTTATATTATGTGTATCTTACCCCACCCACACACACACGATGGCCACATAGAGTGTGACAGTTTTCTGGGTGTGTGTGTATGTGTGTGTCGTTGCCCAGGTATAGACCTAACTGTGGTCTCAAAGAAGCAGCCCAGCCCCACAACCATTAGTCAAGGTTTCGGGAATGCTTTGGGAGGCAGAGGCATCATTTCAAAATAGCTCTGAGAATAATTCCCGAAACCAGTTGTCACAAGTTACCGTTGTCTTTGATACCCTGACAATCAAGCAGAGAGGAGAGGTGCGGAGACTTACCTGGAGGTGAGCTCTCCAAGAAAGCTGCAAAACATAAATTAAATCACTACGGTGAGTGTTCACAGTGGGA